TTGTAAGAGTCTAGGAAGTTCCTTTTTCAGTATGCACGTTTCCAGGTTATAGATACTCCTATTGACTAGAAGGACCCCCAGGCAAGTGAATCACTGCGTATACATGTGACATATGTTATGGTCACCATACTCTCTTGTGACTTGCCTTTAGCAGATTGGAAAGTGCTTTTGCTGAATATTTCTTCTTTGCAGTTCCACAGAATTGCTTGGGTTGGAAAGTACCTTTAAGATCACCCAGTTCCAACCCCTCCTGTGGGATGATTGCCCTCACCAGCTCAGGCTGCCTGAGGCCCTCCCAACCTGGCCTTGAGCACCTCCAGGGATGGGCCTCCAGGGATGGGGCACCCACAGCTTCTCTGGGCAGCTGTGCCACCATCTCACCAACCTCTGAAAAAAAGATTCTTCCTAGTATTTCATCTCAATCTCTGCTCTTTTGTGGACATTGTTCTTTGTCTTATCACTATTAGACCATGTAAAGAATTGCTCTCCCTCCAGTTGGTAAGCTTCCGTCTGGTACAAGGTCTCAGTGAGGTCTCCCCGGAACATTGTCCAAACTGAAAAAGCCCAGCTCTTTCAACTTTTCTTAAGAACGATGCTCCAGCTGTATGTTCATCCTTGTGGCTCTCCTGGACCCACTCCAACAACTCTGCATCCTTACTGTACTGGGGGTCCCAGGCATGGACACAGTACTTCTGATGGAGCTTCACAAAAGCAGAGCAGAGAGAGGGTCAGTGGGACAATCCCATCCCTCTCCCTCCTGCTGCCTCCTCCGTTGGTGCAGCCCAGGTTACAGTTGGCATTATGGGATGCAGGCACACACTGCTGGCTTGCATCAAGATTTGAGTTGTCCAGAAAACACAAGTTCTCTGCAGGATTTCTCTCAGTGAGTTTTTCTCCCAGTCTATACATATACTTGGGATTGTTCCAATTCAGGTGCAACACCTTGCACTTGGCCCTGTCAGACCTCATTATGTTCACTCGCTTTTCAAGCCTGTCCAGGTCCCTCTGAATGGTGTATTTTTTTTCTATTGTATCAGCTGGACCACTGCACTTGAATCCTCGGTGAAGTTGCTGAGCGTGTCTTTGATCCCATTGCTTAGGTCACTGGTAAAGATGTTGAACAGCACTGGTCACTTTACTACATGAGACAGAACTGCAGCTTTGTAGCCTTCTATTTTTTTCACTCTGCTGCTCTCATCTGAAACTTGCACTCTGGGGAGCACTGTGAGCCAGTGGTGGCTCACAAATTTGTTTTTGACAGAGCATCTGAGAATGTTAATGATCATGTAGAATAAAACTTAGAGTATTAGTTCAGAAACCTGAAATAGATTAAATAATGAATTTGCCTGCAAAAATTTGTTTTTAAGGATGTTAATGCAGTGAAAATTTTTAAGAATGTACTGGGGGAAAATAGTGTTCTTTTTAGATTTGAACTGTGGGATCACATTAAAACTTCAAAATTGGTTGATTTAAGTAAGTGTCTTTAGCATGTGTTGTTTACTTGGACTGCTTCTTTCAGCTGTCCTGTAATTCATTTTGGAGCACTTAATTAGTACTGCAGTTCAATACTGACATGGATGTTGCTCAAAAAATGTTACTGATTTTCAAGTAGATATTCATAGCATAGAATTGTGAACTTTTATTGGGTTTCTTGGTAGTAAGGGAGCTTCTGGGTCTTTGGTGTCTCAAAGGAAGATGTGTCCAGCCAAAGGCTGCCTTAAGCAGACAAACACCACGTGTTCTTAAAATGCAGTTTGTAATTAACTTATATGCAGTGTTCCCTTATTTACTGCATAGGTTGTGTAGTTGGCTGCTGCAAAGCTTTTGTTATCTGGACACATGATTGGCTTGTCTCTGAATAAGGAAACTAGGAAATTTGGCAGAATATTCTGGTGTAGAAAACTACATACAGCTCTGAACTGCAATATGTGATAATAAAGGCCATTAGATTTGCAGTTTAGGCTCCTTGCATACTTGTCCCTTATTCATCGTTATAAATGTCTACTAGATTTGACTAAAGTTTTCATTTCTAGTCATATATTTTTCTGTATTAATCTCAAGCCTATTACCCCTCTGAAACGTGAAATGAACTTTTTGTGTATGTAGTCAAGTGTCTGCCCAAGAAGACTGGGCTGTGTTGAACCCAACTGGGGGGCTGGCAGAACTGCAGCACGCTGTGTTTCAAAGTACAGCCATTGCTGTGTTCTTAAACTCGTTTAATTTGCTAGTCATGTGAAGGCCACCGTAAGGATGTATTTTAGACGTGAGATGATAAAAGCTGCAGAAGAGCCACCACCTGTAGGAAGCTGCTGGAAGGGTGTTTTGCATTGAACTTATTGAGGAGAACACAGAGCCTGAAGCATTTGCAGAGCAGCCAGCAGCTTCTGTTTTTTCCAGTGCCAGCTTTGTCAGTCAGTCAGCAGATGTGTGTGCTGTGCCCCTGGCCTGGTGCTGTACCTGCAGCTGCAGAGCACGGCCATCCCTTTGTCATCATGATTTGGGTGTTTGCATGGGAAGGGAGAGGTAATCTTTGCTTGCATTAGCTTGAAAAATGCAGAGGTGCTTACCGGCAGCAAGAGTCTGGGCTGTTGGAGCAGGTACCTGTCCCTACATGGGGATTCAGATGCCTGGATTCCAGAAGTGGCAATTACTTTAAGCAGGAGCTCTCTTGACCTTTTTACCTCTAGCATCAGCTCGGCTTACTGCTTGAAGCTTGTGGCTTTCAGGACTGAGGGCTGTCTGGTGGATGCAGGGCGAGACAGCAGAGGAACAGTGCAAAATGAGATACCTGCTCTGAGAGTCCTGATACAGAGTAAAGAAAAGCTTTTGTATAGATGTTTAGATGTAAAATATGTTGCACGTAGAGAGTGGAAGATAAAGGCAGTATTAAGTCTGTATTCCAAAAAAACAACACTACTATTTTTGGTCTCTGTCAGAACCTCATGCATATACTGTGATGAATAATGGACTAGTGTGTGCTGGTATGTTGTATCGAGTTTCTGTGGCAGGGGAAAAGGAGCTGTTGAGGAGTATCCCTGAACTTTTCCTCCTTTAACAATGTTGGCACGTGGCCTTATAACAGCAGCATGTGAGAGCTGATATTCCTCCCAACGCGTGCGTTTGTGCGTTATTGGAAATATCACAGAATCATAGAAGGGTTTGGATTGGAAGGGACCTTTAAGATCATGTAGTTCCAGCCCTCTGCTGTAGGCTTGGACACCTCCTGCTAGACCAGGTTGCTTGAAGCTCCATCCAGCCTGGCCTTGAAAATGGAACCATAGTAGAAAGCGCTCATATTCTTTCAGCTTCAGAAAACTAAGATTGCATTTAGCAGCTGATTCCAAAAGCAGGTAGCTGGCAGATGGAGAGAGAGTAATCTTCAGAGTGATGGTGGGGGACAGGACTGCCTGTGTAGTGGAGCATCATGCTGGGTTGTTGGCACTGCAGGTGTTTGCTTCTGTTGTAGGGATCAGGGTAAGGCCGGGGAAAGCAGGACTTCTGTAGCTATTAGTGCTGCCTGTATTTTCTTCAGGCTGTAAGCTCATCTATGAAACCTGTATTCTTGATCCAGGAAAGTATTTTGTGGGCTGCACTGTTTGATGGGAAATGAAATGGAGACCCTCTTTGCTGCAGCTGTAGGACTATTATGTTTTTTGCTGCTGGTAGCAGTAGATAACACTGACTTAAATTTCATGCTTGTAAGAAAGGAGAGAGTGAGCAAAATGAAAGTTCAGCGTACTGAAGTTTATTTATAGTTTCAGAAGACTTCCAATTTCTTGAAGTTGACTTAAAAGTTGGGAGGAGAAGAGTTAGCTGTGCCATTTCCCTGCTTCATGGGTTGTCTTTTTGTAGAGATTTGGGAGTGTGCGTGCACATTTTTGAAGTTTGTTGTGTGTTGGAAAAGTGTTTGTTATGGGGTCCTGTAAAACAAGAAAGACAACTTGGACAAATCCCAAATGTACTCCTGAATTGCAATTGGAACTGAAGTGCCTGACATTGTTCGGGGGAGTTGGTTGTGGTGAGGTACTCAAATCTGTCAGCCATCCGTACAGTAATTCTCCTTTCAGAAACTGGAATGCACTAATTCAGAAGTACTTCAACATTTCAAATTCCAGTTTTTCTTTCTGAAACTTTCTTCTGCAGGTAATTTTCCCGTGCTCTTGCACAAAAATTGGATTACCCCACAGAGCTAATGAAGTAAGAGTGTGTCTCACATAGATTTCAACCTGATTTTTAATTCGCACAAAAAATGTGTTCAGCTTTATTAAAGATACACAACAATCTGATTGCGGTGTTTAAATGAATAAAATCAACCTTGATTGACTTAAACAGCAGCATCTTGGAAAAAAGGTCACGAGGCTGATTTTTTTTCATAATTTGCTGTGAAACTAAATTTACTCTCATTGAAACTGTTTTGAATTGGCTTCGTACCCATCTTAATTATGCATGCCATGGAAAAGGAGGATGTTTTTTGCAGCAGCTCTTGCTTTTATGACATAACTTCTGTATTCAAACAAATGTTTTCTGGCAGAAGGTGAGAGAAATGGTGATGTTGCAGACAGTAGCTAAGTTGTGATAGCAGCCCAGTACTGCTATGGGTAGCTTTTGTGACTTATCCAGTGAGCTTTTCTTGGCTTGCTGCTACATGTACTCAGTAACACTGTGTGAACAAGTGTATGTTCAGTTCTTGCATATCACTTTTTTTGTATTTACCGTCACCAGAACATTGGTCATTGCTTCCATGATGAGTGGCCTCTATCTGGATATACAAAGTTGATCACTTTTAATTTTTTCCATGGGATTTCTTGCACATTACTATATTAGAATGGTTCACTAACTTGGTAATTAACAAATGTGTCCATTCCCCAAAGTCATGTTCAACCTAGATTCATTACCAATTTTCTTTATTAGCTCAATTGTTAAAAATATGGAGTATTACAATCTTTTGGGAAATATATTGGACTGTGTAGCAGATCACTGTTTTCTTTTTCCTCCTGCAGGTTCGATCTGTGGATGAGATGAATCATGAGTTTCAAGCTCTTGCCCTAGAATCTCGGGGAATGGGAGAGGTAATTACTGAGGACTGAAAATCCAGTTGGAGCTGTGAAAATTTTGATGCAATTTAAGAGTTGTAAATGATACCAAGCTGACTGAAAAGTTGCTTGTAAAAGCAAATTGATTTTTCAGGCCACTGAGGATCTGAATGTCTTGTGAGAACATGGAATCTCGGTGACTGTGGTGTTACTGTAGTCTTGTCAGATGACTGATACTCTAGGGGAAGCAACCATGTAATTTCTTTAAAATCTTGTGCAATTCTATGAAATGAGGCATATTTTCATTATCACTGTCTAAACGAGTGAAACAGCTGCCACCTCTAACAAGCCAAGGATGCTAAGAACTGCTAAGGGTTTTGGCTCCAGGAAAGATATTGGCACGACTTAACAGAAATGTGGTAATTTATGATGCCTTTATTGGTAATTACTCCTTAAAATAACATTTAACCAGGAGTAGAAGGGCTATTGTATAATAATCTCGATGAGGAGGAGTTTTTTGATTCAATCCCATTGTCAGTGTACTTCTGAAGATCTGGACATCATAGACGGTGACTTTGGGAACTGTCTTTGAAAGATCTGAACTGTTTTAAAAGTAATCAACATCCGTTACTTGCCTTGGCAGGACATAATAATGGAATAAATTCACATTAAACAAAAATTTCAAATAATGATCCATTTGTTTTGTTGGATGTTAATGAAGTTTTTTGATAATGGAACCGCTGATAATATTTCTTCTTAATTTTTAAAAGATAATTACATGCTCAAAGAAAACTGTAACTCGCTGACAGAAAACAAATGTTGTGTTCTGGTTGCTCAACACTTGTTGGCTGACAAGTTGCTATGCATGTTTGATCTTTTTTACTTAAATGAAACATTTAACAAATTCTGCAGAACTGTGAAGACTTTTATTTAAATAACTTTAATATTTTTTGGAAGAAAAAAGGAGTTCTGTTGCAGTAATCTTGTATCAGGAATGGACACTGTATTGTGACCCTGAAATTATGAGCCTGTTACAGCTTTCAGTAATATCTTTCATATAATCATAGAATGGCCCAGGTTGGAAGAGACCTCAAGGATCATGAAGCTCCAACCCCCCTGCCACATGCAGGGCCACCAACCTCCACATTTAATACCAGACCAGGCTGCCCAGGGGCCCATCCAATCTGGCTTTGAACACCTCCAGGAACAGGGCATCTGCAACCTCTTAGGGCAGCCTGTTCCAGCACCTCACCACTCTCTCTGTAAAGAACTTCCTCCTGACATCCAACCTAAATCTTCCCTCCTTCAACTTAAAACCATTTCCCCTTGTCTTTCAAGTATCTCAATTTAGTGCATGTTCAAATAGCTGAGTTGACATTGTAATTTTTGTGTTACTTAGTGTTCCACAGCAGTGCTGTGCTGCATGGAACCTAATGCAGACTGTTTTGACCTTCTTTTTGGATATATTAATAGCCTTCCAAAATACTTGAGAAAATACCCTCACACAAATACCCATGTAAACAGAATTGGTAGTTGTGCATTCTTAAGTGCTTCCATCTGCCTACTTCAGAAGGTTTGAAGGGATCGTTTCAAATAATGTGCTTGTAGCTGTTGGGAAATAGCCTTGTTCCTGAATTTTTCTTCTCTGTTCATTTTTTTTTTTTCTGAACTGAAATTAATTTCTTGTCCGTGTAATTCTTTTACCCTTCTTGGTTCAGTTTTTCCCCCAGTGGGATTCAACATTTCTTGACGTCAAGAGGCTGTTAGGTCTTACTTCTCATGTCATTGCTGAAATGAAGACTGCAAATGAATCCTGATGCAAGTATTTTGGGTAGAATACATACTGGAAGTCTTTTTGTTAAGGTCTTTGTCTGAACTGAGCCTGCTGTGAGTCAGTAACAGGACTGGGACTGCAGAACATGAGCCAGATGTGTTGTTCCACAGAGTGATCCTTGATCTCTTTCCATCTTGTAATTCTCTGCTAATTTATTCCGTAAAGAAGCAAACCAGAGCTCTGTTAGCAGGAGATCTGCTGTTGTGCAATCATCTTTTTGAAAAGATCACCTGCAGTTGTGGCTCTTAGATGGTTAAATGCAGATGCTGCTTCTGGCTCCAGCTTTCAACAGCAGTCATGACTCTCAAGGTCAGGGTGATATTCTGAAGACATATTGACACGTGTTGCTGTTTCTCTTCTTCAGGCATCTGCTGTTTCCTATTTCAGGGCTGGCTTTCAGGGCTCCAGGACCCTTTGTTTGACCTCATACAGCCATATGAAAAATTGATTTTATTTGGAATGTAAAATAATTTTACTTGGTAACATCTGTTCTTAGAATCATGGAATCACAAGGTTGGAAAGGACCTACAAGATCATCTAGTCCAACCATCCTCCCATTGCCATTGCTGCCACAAGCACTAAACCATATCTCACAGCTCCTCATCCAGACACCTCTTGAACACTGCCAGGGACGGCGACTCTACCACCTCCCTGGGCAGCCATTCCAGTGCCTGACCACTCTCTGAGAGAAAAAGTTGTTCCTTATGTCTAACCTAAACCTCCTCTGGTACAACTTCTGGCCATTCCCCGGGGTCCTGTTTGTTGCCTGGGATGAGAGGCCAAACCCCTCCTCATCACAGCCTCCCTTCAGGAAGTGGTGGAAGTGGGGATCAAAGTGCATATAGATTTTGTTTTAGGGACAGTGTATCCATTTCTGGTCTCAAAACTTCATTTGGAGAATTTATAGTAAGCTACGTAGTAATTACTTCTGATCTTGGGGAAAAAAAGAAGTTGTTAAGACCCAGCAATTGAGACTGTGTAGTTACTTATTAGCGCTGGTTAAGAGTTACCTTTAATATAATTGGTTATTATCTGTGCATAGAAAAGAGCTTTGTTCATCCAGCAGAGACATAAAAGGGAGCAGGGCTCATACTGAAGAAGACACTGGAGCGTACTGTTGGAAGAGCTTAGTAAGAAATACGGCACTCTTTCTTTTGAATTCGAAATGGATTCATTTTTGTAAAGTGTCTTCTGAACTGCAGGTTACTAGATTAAATGTAGGAAGTATTGAGCACAAGGCATGTTATGAGAGAGCAAGATGTTGTAGTTACTGTTGGTTTTTCTCTTATCTGTAGAAGAACACAGTACTTGTTTTTGAAAAACATTTTTTGAGTCCTACAATGAGATAATTGACAACTGCTGCAGCTGCTTCTTTATATGGAAATCCAAGAGCTAAAAAATCCCTTTGAATGGACATAGTATGTCAACCCATCAACACTCTCTCTCTTTAAACAAACAAACAAAAGCCTAAAAATCCAGGTCACTCCTGCACGGGAAGGCACGGATTATAATCTTTAAGAATGTCAGTTTCTCTAGATAGCTGAGGGACTTCTTGGTTGTGTAAAATTTAATCAAAAATATCTCCATGAATCTGTTCAGCTTTAACTGTAGCCTCCTGAGGTATAGGTGATGCATTATGTTTATTTGGAAGCTTTACTGTCAACAAGAAAACATAAGACAATAAGAAGTTGAATGCATATATTTGGAAGTTGAAAGTGTTCAGTTTAGAACAGAGAAAAACACATACATAAAATACAATAGAAAAGCAAGTACACAACCTTTTGCCAGTGGTCACTATTGTGTCTTTTTATCAGTGAACAATTTCTTCCTGTGATAGAAACTCTGAAAATGAATTTTGAAATCAGAATTGCGGTGTGTTCTACTTACATCTGCTTATTGCTTTCCATGGCTTCATCCAAACATCTCTCTGATAGTGGAATTAAACAACAACAAAACAAAAAAATAAAAACTCTAATTCAGGGTAAGCCTACTGGAAGCTACGTGCTAATTTCATGACACCCAAAGTATTTTTGTTCTGACCTTCGCTTTTGTGTTTCTCATCTCACCTCAGCTGGAAGTACCTTTGAACTTCTGATGGACTGTGCTTAATATGAAGCGTGGTTTTGTTTCCCTATAAAAGGCTCCACAGATAACAGAAAATGCTTTTTGTCTACCTCTGTACTACAAAGTGAAAAAGTAGTAGTACTGCAGAATTGGTACTATGCAGAGCTAGCTGAGAAATATTAATAGATTTTCTTGGTTTATCTGTAATATATCATCTTTTGCTTTTTAGTTGAACTGTAGTTTTAAGATTCCATGAATCTTCTAAATCCTCTGATGGCAGACTTCACCCAGTTCTTAAATTTGTGGTAAACTCAGTATTCTGGTGCTTCCAGAGCATGTTTGTTTGACAGCTGCTGGTGGTTCTCCCAAGTACTGAGAAAAAGAGCACCTATGTCAGAGCAGGTCATTGCTGCAGTACTGCAAGCATAGAACTCTTCCATAGGTGGTTTTGTGAAGTATTGACTGTTAGTCTTCTTCCACCCACCAGTTCTTCAGTGTTCTGAATTCTTTATGTAAGGAGCACAGGGATTTCAGTACCTAGTTTAGATAAACATTTTTCTGGTGATCATTCTTGTAAACATAGGAGACATCAGTCAGCAATCCTTACATTGTTTGAGAGGAGCTCAAAACCTTTGTTGGTTTTATTAATGTTTGTGGCCTGCTCATGGCAGTCTTACCTTCCTCCTTAAGCAGTTTTCACAAACTCTCTCAAAGCTACATTAATAAAAACCTAAAAAAAAAAATAAATTAATCTTGTTAGTAGCTTCATCAAAGCTCATATTAAGCAGCTGTGATGTTGAATGATTTTTATCTGTCAGTTAAATAACAGGAGAGATTCTTGTGTGGTGCTTCTGTAGTTTTGCACTGTATTCTGGTCTTGAAGGCAGTACAAGAAATTATTCTGGTACTGATTTGACCTGAAACTTTGCTTTGGAAATAGTAACGAATAGAATCATACAGCTATATTAAATGAAACTTCATTTAATGAAGTTGAAATTTGAATTTAACGAAGTTGAAGTTGAAATTTCATTTCAATGAAGCTATATAAATTGAAACTTCAAATTTGATGGTCACCAGTTTATAATCAGGAGATCTAAGGGAGTCTGAACTTGTCACGGTGCAGGTCAGTTGCTTGTTGAAATCTGGAACATAACTCCTTTCTTTCTGTTTCTCACAATGGTGCTGGTTAAAGGCCCAGCTTCTCAGCCAAAATAAGCAGGCAGTGCAAAGTTCCAAGTTTCTGAGAGGATTATCTGTTCAGCTTTTAATCATAACTGGTTATGTATTTTATATCTCTTTCTTGTAACTTCAGGATCTGCCTTGTTGCAGTCATTGCAGCAAATTTTTAATGCATCATCAGCATTACATTCAGGTGTTTTAATTATTCCAACTATGTGTGCTTCCTCATGTAAAGCTGACTTTGGTATCTCTAAAACAAATTGCCCGTCATCTTAGTTGTATTGTTAATTTTTGCCTATTTGTAATCATTTTGTTAAAAAGATAATTTTCTTTTCTTACACAGCTTTTACCTGCCAAAAAGTTTTGGGAACCTGATGATTCAGCAAAAGATGGACAAAAAGGGATATTCCTTGGTGATGAGTGGAGAGAGACTGCATGGGGAACTCCTCGTAAGTGATAAATAGATACATACTGAAACATTGATTGCTTGGTACGTGTTATTTTAAAGTAAAGCAGTATTCTAAGTGTTAGATATCTGTGTAATGAATTTGGTTTTACTTTCATTTTAACTGTAAAAATGTATACAGCCCTGGTAGTTGTATGCTCATAACACTTTTGGAAAGTAGGATTTTGAATTTATTTATTTTCCAGCTTGTTTTATATCTCATCTGTACTGAAATGCACAAATATTGCAAGTTGTGTTCAAAAAGTACAATTGTGATATTTTTGTTTGTTTTAACAGACCATTCTATGTCCCAGCCTATTATGGTACAGAGAAAGCCTGGACAGGGTTTTCATGGAAACAGTGAAGTAAATGCTGTATTGTCTCCACGATCAGAAAGTGGTGGCCTTGGAGTGAGCATGGTAGAATATGTGTTAAGTTCCTCTCCAGCTGATAAATTGGATTCCCGGTTTAGGAAAGGAGCTTTTGTAAGTAATACAGCGTGTTAAGTTTATGTAGTTACGTGCTATGGTCTTAGTGATTTACATGGTTATATTTTTTATGTGATTTGTCCAGTTTTTTTTCTTCTTCTCTTTAGGAAGTGTGTATAGTTGCTATCTGCTTGTCTTCCTTCGTTGGAGGGGGCTAAGGAGGTCAGAGGGAAGTAGTTTGGGAAACTTGACTAAACAGCTGCATTAAAAACAGTACTTTCCTAATGCCTTTAAAGAGAGGAGGGAAAAGGTCACAAATAATTTAAAATGCATATTGTACTTTTTTTCCTAGATTTTCCTGTTCTGTGTTTCAGTAAGGGGGTTTTATGTACCGGATGTTTTAACTGTGTAAAAAGTGTTATTGCTTCAACAGCACCGCTATAGTTAAGGTTGAGTTAGCTCTTCCATTATAAATCCTGGCATTCCTTTTCACATATTGGCAGTTTTTAATTGCATTTGGTCAAAACTTGGTGACCAAGTTACCCACCAAATGCAATTCTATTGAAAACAAACTGTTTGTATTGTTTACGTGCGCTGTAGTGTAGAATTAGGTCACCTATTGTGTTCTGTTCAATATTCAGAATCAAACAGATTCTTTTTCCTCAGGGCACTAGAGATGCTGAAACAGATGGACCTGAGAAAGGAGATCAGAAAGGCAAGGCTTCTCCATTTGAGGAGGACAAAAACAGAGATCTTAAACAAGGAGATGATGAGGATGTTACTAAAATAAATGGCAGAGGTTTGCCAAATGGAATGGATGCCGATTGCAAAGATTTTAAGTAAGCTTTTAACTGTTTCTCGAGAAGGCGAACATGTCTCTTTAGGCATTATTACAGTTCTGGTTTGTGTGTCAGCTTCAAACATTATCCAGCTGCAGATTGATTCTTGCTGCCTCACGTCCTCCCTTTCCCACTGTGCCACGTGTTTCTTAGGATGTCATTAGTGTGTGTGTCACTTCTCATGAGACAAATTCATTTTAATAAAGTATTTCTTCAAAGCAAATGAGTACCTTCACATTGTGGTGAATTAAAGCAGGATGAAAGCTTTCACCCTTTTGATTATGAAGTCAATCCTTTTCTCTCTCTGCTTCCTTTTGATACTTCCAACTTTTGGATCTGATTGTTGTAGAGAGATAATCCTACGGAATTATAACGTACCTTGTGATTTCGCTGGTCAACACCTCAGCCTAACACAGTTACTTCTCCGCAAGTTTTTGTGGGAATTATGTACTTGGATGAGAGTTCACAGAGCTAAGTGTCATAATTCACTGTATAGAGTGGTGGTACCGTTTAATTCTTTTCCTAGGGAAAAAAAATGGAACAAACTCAAGGTTTTTGAATGATACATTCCTTTATGATAGCACAGCCAGCCTGCTTTTTTAATAATGCTGAAATGCATTTTGAATTGGATGTTTTTAAAGGACTAATCTTTGTTTTTAGGTGACTAGTGCATTTATAACTGTCATAGAGAAGAATTAGCAGGATTAGAAAACTAGAGTGCTGCTCATAAATTCATATTAATGTGATGAACGTGACCTAATAGTTGTGCTTTTATTAGTTTATAATTAAGCAAGTATATTAAAATGCATGTTAGAATCTCATATTTAAGTATTTTCTACCCCTTAAAAATGTAATTACCTAAGGCTAAGGAAGGATTCTTCAGACCTATTTTTTCAGGATCTGTTACTGAGAATAGTATAATACCACACATATTAGAGAGCTCAAACTAATTACCTCCTTTTGGGTGCATTCTGCAATATGTGAAATAAATGAAGTTACTTTCTATATTATAAGTAGCAAATGTAGAATAATTTTTTTTGTCCTGCTTCTCCAGGATCTATTTCAGTTTTGAAATAACAGTTTGCTGTTATTCATAAACTCATAGAATGGCCTGGATTGAAAAGGATCTCAGAGATCACCTAGTGTCAGCCCCCCAGCTGTGGGCAGGGTCGCCGACCCCTAGACCAGACTGCCCAGTACAGAAGTACCTTCTGTATTATTTAAAGTAGGAAATTATTAAAAATTAGAGCAAAGAAGCATCCAAAGCCAGAAAACGTCTCAAAAAATAAGGCCATCTAATTGAAATGGCCCATATGAAGCGATGGTATAAGGCTCTCCAAACAGAGGTTTATAATTGAAGTATTGACACAACTTTAACTATAGCAACAGAACAGTACTGATGTAAGGAGCATCCTTTACTAAGTAAACATAAGTAGTAAAACAAAACTTTGTCCTGTGCTCCTCCTTGTATTTTTATTGTACGTAGGACATTTTTTTAAACTAAAATATGTACTGAAATAACTGCTTCTTTTTCTTTTGTTCTTTGCTTTTTTGATACTGTACGTCACTTGGGAAGAATAAGGAATGTTAAACAGCTTCAAACGTGGTTTTATTCATTGAACTAAATATAGTCGCAATCTAGGATACGTAGATATGCAGTACCTTATAGATAGATGATTGTTGTAATTGTTCCTTACATTCAAAAAGTGCCCAGTGTAACTGTGTTTCACCTGAAGGATTTTGTCCTAAGAAAAAGATCATAAAATATTGCTGACTGAACGTACTGAGTGATTTCTAGCTCTGCAGTCTGGAGGGTTGATACTGGCAAACACACAAATTCTAGCAGGTTTTTTTTGCCTTGGTGAGTAAGAAGGGAAGCTTTGGAGCCCTGAAGGAGAGCAGGTACTACAGAGGTTGTACCTCTATGCTAGAATTAGTCTTCTGTCAGCGTAATTTTGGAGTAGGTAGAGGTTAATTCTACAAGATTGATTTTTGTGGTTGTGAACCCCATCTTCACAAGTAAAGTGATCTTAACTGAAATTTGTGTTTTTCTTGAAAAACCATAAATGCATGTAATTATAGTGCTCTGCCAAGACAACTAATGCTGTTAAGGGATTACAAATTCCCTAACAGAATTCACTCACAGTATTTGATTTTAGATTTTTGTCAGAAAAAAAAAAAAGCTAGTCTAAATAGTATAGCATGACACACAACATAGGATGCAAGTCCAAATTAGGGTAGAGTCATAGAATCATAGGAATATCCTGAGCTGGAAGACACCGACCAGGACCATCAAGTCCAACTCCTGTCTCCACCAGCACCAAATGTGTGTCTGAGAGCATTATCCAGTGCAAATACAGGAGTGGGAATCTTTTCAGAGCATCAATCAGTTGACATCTCATTTCAGGTGTTACAGGTGAGAGATTCACCTGTAGTCAGTGGAGATGTAGTCAGTACAGCCTGTGGAGATGTGAGAATGATAGTGACTGGTCAGTTGCTATTCGCTAGATTTCCATCCAGCTAATGGCATTTTAAGATGTATAAACTTACAGTGCAAGTGTAGCTGTCGAAATCTCAGCCACCACCAGCTCTTTACGTATGGAAAGACAAACCCCAAGGTTTTGGCATAGTAAACAGTTTCCAGGTGCATATCTCTGATGTATTGCCAAAAGAAATCAAACACTCCCATTTTACTCCATCCTAAAGATTTTCTTACAGACAGCGGGCTGTGTTTATTCTTAAGGAACTTAAGATGGAATTGATGGGATTATATGAGGAACACTTTTTTTCCATAATCAGTCATTGGTGTAGTCTGTTATATGACTTGTGTAGGGAAATTAAATGTTTTGGTCAAATGCTAAATGTGAGGGAGTTCCGAGTCTGCTTTATGTAGAGGTGAAAAATGCATTGTTTGCTTTTGAGATGTGAAAGATACTTGCTATATTGTTTGTGTCTTTTCCTGTTGAAGTTTTATTGTTGCTTTCTCTCCTTTGCCATGAATACACAGCTGTGTCCTTTTGTTTCTTTTTCTAATTATTTCTTTTTGAATTGTTTTTTAGTGATTCTGTCCCTCCCAAAATGCAATAACAAAGCCATCCCAAAAGTTACAGATTATTACAGTATATGTCATTTCACCATAAATAGGTTCAGTGATTAGTTTGTTTATTTTACAATGATTTTAGAGAGCTGTATATACTAAAGTTTAAAAATAAAAAAAATATATGCTTTGAAATGAATGTGTCCTTTATCTTGAACCATCAGTGCATGCTGCTAAAAATCCCTCTACTCTCCTTTGTAACTTCTTTGTGACATCTCTGAACTCAGAGATCCCTTTAAAATAGAAATACTGTACTCTATCAGTGCATAGTGTTATTTAAGACTGTAAGAACCTGTCTTGAATTTCTTCTGAACAGTCGTACCCCTGGAAGTCGACAAGCCTCCCCAACAGAAGTAGCTGAACGCTTGGGCCCCAATCCCAGCACCACAGAAGGATTGGGTCCACTTCCCAATCCTGCAGCCCACAAGCCCTTGGTAGAAGAATTTTCCAACCCAGAAAATCAGAATCTAGATGCCATGGAACAAGTTGGTCTTGATTCTCTACAATTTGATTATCCTGGCAATCAGGTACAGATGGACTCTTCAGGAGCTACTGTAGGACTTTTTGACTACAATTCTCAGCAGCAGGTTAGTATTGGATTTCAAAACATGCCACATTGGTCCTTTAAGTGCTGTTCTCTTTGGTAGTCATTTAAACATATGTATTCTGTTTCATTAAATATCCATGACATAGTCAGAGGCAGATAAATGTACAATTAATCTGGGAAGAATATTGGCATGTAATTTTCCAGTTAAGTTATTTCATGGGGTAGAAGCTTGGCTCAAAAATCCCTTTTGGTAAAGTAAATCCTAGTAAATTGTAGTCCTGACTCTTGAAAATGCTGCTTTTTTTTCTTTTCTGTTTTGTTTTCCTAATAGCTTTTCCAGAGGACTAATGCTCTGACTGTGCAGCAGTTAACAGCAGCCCAGCAGCAGCAGTACGCCCTGGCTGCGGCTCAGCAGCCTCACATAGGTGAGCTTTGTGTGAAGTGCAGCAGGCACTCGTGGCAAACAGCTGTGTGTTGCTCTCCTATACTGCTTTGTTTCACCTAATTTAAATAGATTCTAATTTAAATAGATATTGATAGTTGGCTCATTTTGGTGGTTTCCCTGAAAATGGCTCAGAATGACTGTCAGCTTTTAGAAAATGCTATTTTGTGATTGGTTCCGTGTTGTGTTCTTATTTGCTTAGAATTGTTGCAAGCAAAGAAATAAGTTGCTTTTGCTTACGCAGCATAATTAAGTTTTGATGGGATGGAATGTTAAAAAAAAGAGACAGAAAAGGCTTTTCTCCTGAAAATAGTGGTAGAAACACTGAATTTAATTACTAAAAATTGCAAAAATTTGCACTTCTGTTGTGCTGTTTAATGGTTTTCATACTCTAGTAAAAAAAAAAACAACATTCTATAGTAGAATTTTGAAGTAAAACTTTTAGTTCAGGTTGATGAATTCTTTCTTGCTAATGGCGTATAAAAACTTCTTTGCTTTTAGAGTTACTCTGTAGGAAGAAGTTTGGCTGTCTTTTTAAAATAACTCAGTGAATGTAGTCAGTGCATCAACTTCTTGCATGAGGCCTGCTGGCACCTCACCAGAAGTCTGTGTGTCAGTTGCCACAGTATCAGTTTCACAGCCACTGTTGCAAAGATGTGCTTTGGGGAGAGAGGAGTTGGCACCTCCATGGGTGCAATTCCTGCAGGATGGGAGCTCATCCAGATGTGACACAGTGGTAGGACAGGTGTAAAAGCTTCTGCCCTTCCTGCTTCACCACGAGATTGACAGAGGTGTATGCCTTTGTGCACTAGCTGTGAGGGGATAAAGGGTTCTTGTGCAAAAGAGCAAAAAGGAAGGGAAGCTGTATCTCAGAGTGAAGTCTGTGTTCTCTTGTGGTACAGTGATAAAGTTTCCCTCATCAGCTCATTCACCTAGATGTCATCGTGTCAGGCAGATCCAGACAGGGATTGGCAGCCTGTCTGGATATAGCAGCTGCAAGACATGTTCACCTGCAACACTGCATTAAGTTAGCTGGATAATGCTGAAAAGCTGCTATTTAGACGCTTTTCAGCATTATCCAGCTAACTTAATGCAGTCTTGGAGGTGAACATGTCAGCTGGAGATGTTTGTGTGAGGCCACAAGTCCTGTCTCGTGCCTTATTTTCACTTCTAAACTGCAAAGAAGCTCCTTTGTATAAAAGTGCTGACTGAGCAGTCTGCTGTATTCTTCTTCTTTGAAATGCAGCATCTTCTGGTACACATTTAGCAGAAATTTAGCAGCAAGCTTCCTGTTTGGAACGCTTCTATGTAAGGGTGGGTAGGTATAAATGAGATCAATTTCTTCAGAGTCTGTAGGTCAGCAGCACAAAGCTGCTCAGCTTTGTACAGTGAGAAAGGACTGACAAGAAACAGAAGCATTGATTTTTATAATACTGTATCTGCTCTTAGAAAGTTCCAAACTATAAGTAGTACTGATTTTAATGGGTATGCTTTGTGGTTTGTCTGATGTGAGTACAATAATGCTTTCTGTTAGCTATAATTAAACTCTGTTTATTACTGTAGCAGGTGTATTCTCAGCAGGCTTGGCTCCAGCTGCTTTTGTGCCAAACCCATACATTATCAGTGCTGCTCCTCCAGGTACTGACCCGTACACTGCAGCTGGATTAGCTGCAGCAGCCACCCTAGCAGGTAACTGAACACTTTCTTGTGTTTATCTTGATAATTTCACTGAATGAAATTGGAAGAAACAAAAACAAACAAAAAAAAACCTGAGATCCATCCTATATATTCTTTGTAGATGTATTTCTAGGAAAATTGTAGAGAAATTGACATTTATAGATTTGATGCTTTTCACTCTGTAAAAGGAATTCAGTTCTTGTTATATGTGCATTCGGAACATTTATTTCCCCTGGACTTCTGCATGCAGCAATTAGGTTTCTCTGTTCTGAAAAAGCTTACTGTTAATAAGATTATTAGTGACATTAGTAGAGTCTTATTTTCAGAAGATGAGACAGCTAGCGTTTCCTTGCATGTTTTTACTCGGTGCATTAGCTTTCTAATTCCACATTTTCTCCTTCCCAGTGAGCATGAGAATAAAACGGGGCTCCAGTGTGCTAACAAGTCCCAGACTACACATGAGCCCTAAGACCAGGAAAATCTCTTTTAAAGTTGATGCTGCTGAGAAACACAGCAGAGTATTCAAGTCCTAGCTTGGTTCGCGTTTGAGCACCAAGCTGTTTGAAAAATACTAGATCTCCAGTTAATGTTTTCACAGGGAAGGCAGTACAAAGAGTGTATTGTATTTATTTTGATTGTGTGCAACACAATGATATAAAATTATCCTTCTGTGGGTTCTACTTATCAGTAGGTTAAAAGGTAAGTACAGGATCAAGCACTCTGAAGAGTGTTGTGTTCAGTTGACAGGGAGGCAGAGGCAGCAAGTCTTAGTAAGTTGCTGCTGGAGGATGAATTTGGCTCTTTCTGTGATGTCCTTCTTCCAACCATGGAAATTAATTTTGAGCATGCTTTGATTGAGCTTTGATCACCATACGTTTTTCATTTTATAACTTGAATCTCACAGTGTTATTTTTTCATAAAGAAGGTATGGCTTCATATGAATCCTTTAACCCATATGTTAATGTATCATTTTGACTATCATCTGAATTTTCAAATACCGATTTCTGTTTTGGCATTTAGAAGACAGATCAATGAGGGATGCTGCAAACAGTGTAAACAATTATTTTAACTGGCTACATTAGATGGAATAATCAAGTGTTCTGGTTTTAGGTCCTGCTGTGGTTCCACCTCAGTATTATGGTGTTCCATGGGGGGTGTATCCAGCCAATTTGTTTCAGCAGCAAGCTGCAGCAGCAAATACCACAGCAAATCAACAAGCAGCTTCCCAGGCACAGCAGGGACAGCAGCCGGTACGTTCTTCGTGTAGAGGAGACATGCCTTTAAATCCTTTCTTGAAGCATTTTCAGTCTATAGAGATCAGATTCCAGAAGACGTTACTTAACTCAAGTGTTGTTCTGCTGTATCAGTATTAATATATCACTGATTAACTTAGTGCTTGGTTCCTCAGAATTTCTCAATTTCCTTACATTGCTGATTATTGTAGTCCTGTTTGCTGCACTGTTATGATTTTACCTGTCTAGGTAATTGTGTGTGTAGTTGCTCACATTTTAAAACAAAATTTAAAACTAATGTAGCAAACTGACATGACTGCAGGAAAAGAGATGGAGTGGTTATTTTTGTTACAGCATCACTATGTCATGTTATTTTTGCCTTGGTAATCATGGCTAAGCAGTTGCTGCAAGAATTTATTGCAATTTTCTTTAAATGAGTTTTAAATATATTTATTACTTTTCTACTGTTAGTCTAGATGCAGTTTTGAAGCCTTTGTGAGGCACTTGTACAAACACATGGCGTTTCTCCCCACAAATGAAAACCCTGGATGTTATTATGATGTTATGCTTGATAGATACTGGAATGAACATTATTATTAGCAGTGGAGTTAACTTCAGTACTGTTATTAGGAATTTGATATCTAAGTGACTTTGAGTTACCATGAAGAAGTTATCACTGTTGTACTACCCAGGTGGAGCTGTCTTTCTGCTGATCGTGGTTATAGTTTAATGTGTATTGTCTCTCCAGTGGGCTTCTGCCTTCTCTGTAAAATTAATATCCACTTGGAATAAGTTACACATAACATATTGTGTGGGATATATTGTAAATAGTTTTCTCTTATTTTGGACCTGGAAAGAGCTACTTAAGCCAAGGGGAACAAAGTAGTTGCAAGAACTTAGATTGCTTCTCAGTTTGACTGATTATCAGTAGTGTAAACAAATAATAAGTTATTTGTAAGGGAAGGACAAGCGTTCAGTTACTAGATAATCTGAATCATAAACGTTATCAGCCTTCCAGATTTTCTTCTTTCCTTTATCCATTGATACCATTGACACAACATAAGTGAGATCAGAGCAGGGCACGTGCGTTGTCATGACCATCAGCAGATTAGTTTATGCTTTTTATTATTTATATTTAAATGTTCTTGAAACTGATAAGGTGGAGTATTCAAATAGAAAATAGTATCAGATATGCAAAGAAACTGTTCTGAGCCTTTTGCAGCATATAATGGACTTGCTTTCTTACCTCTGAAGTAAGGATATCACACTGGTCTTTTTCAGGTTCTGCGTACTGGAGCAACTCAGCGCCCGCTTACTCCCAGTCAGGGTCAGCAAGGGCAGCAGGCAGAGTCACTTGCAGCAGCTGCAGCAGCAAATCCAGCTTTGGCTTTTGGTCAGGGTCTTGCTACAGGCATGCCAGGTATGTTGAGAGAATATACCTGAAAGTTAAAATACTGGTGGTGTTAGATACCAGATTAACTATCAAAATCCTGCCATGCTTTTGGTAAGATGCTTAGAATTGAGTTGTATGTGGCTATGCATTGTTTATGTATTTGCACAGATTCTTCAAACACAAGGAATTCCTCTGCCGTTTTCTTTGCTCGTAAGTGTATGCACGACGGGTATCACAGGTAGTTTACAGGATAATTTCACATGGAATGAAGCAGTGCTCACTGTGTTACAAGGTCATGAATTGTCTAAATAGTCTGATGCACCATGAAGTAATAATTGATTATTTTTTTTTTTAACCTATGAATGTGATAATATTTAAAATTTAAAAGTCAGAATCCAAAATTAGGAAATTTAGAAGGAAATTACTGATTAATTATGTCTGAAGATCATAATGTGAAGATCATAAGGTGAAATAACACCAAAGCTGAGGGGCTCTGATTTTTTTTTTTTTTTTTTAGTGGGCATGGCTTCTGACATCAGAGTAGTATTACGTGTCTCAGTACCATATAATAAATGTGCCAGGTTGAAGTTCATCATTTTAAATGCTGGATAATTATATATAATTATAATATATTGTTAACCTGAGCAAAAATAATTTGGCCCTTCTTGAATGCCAAAATTAAGATTTTACATAGTTAAATCAAGTGAAGTTGATGATAGCTGCAAATGCATTTGACTTGTACAGGTTCTGTCCCTTGGTAGCATCTTTGCACCTCACAAAAGCCTCTGGGAAGGCCTGCAAACAGTTCAGCTTACCAGAGATGCTGTAGGTATCTTTACAAAAGCCTCAGAGGCTTAACTGCAGTTTTTGTGTGTGCATTTTGTCATTTGATTTTTGTTTGTTTGTTTATTTATAGCTATTTAGTAGTTCCTGCTTTGCACGTGGAGCTTGAGGATTGTGGAGTGGCCCATGCAATTCCATTTCAAATTCTTCAATCCTATTACAACACATTACTCATTGCAAGGAATTCTTAAAACCTGGACAGTTTTCATTAAATGAATACACAAGTCAGAGTCAGAGGGTACACCCAAATTTCATCATATGATTAGTACCCATTTGTCTCTACAAATAAAAACGGGGGAGGGTTGCACTGAGCTTAAGACATCCAGGCTTGGGAATCTCCCTGGAACCTCGGCTGTATAAAGAGCTGTTGTGCTCTGTGAGGATGTAG